CCAGAAATGGGAATGAGTCAACACTAGACACGTGTACCAGGTGGTATAGTGTCATTCTGCCAATCTGCATGTGAACCATTGCTATAGCTGTCAGGGTTGTCCTCTTCTCTGAGAGACCCTGCATTTCTATAGCACATTCTGTGAGAGGTATTACCCTGTTAACACTGCTAGCGGCTGTCCTCAGCTCCTCGAACAGTTTAGCTGACATAATTGTTATGTCCGCCCCACCGTCCAGAAGTGCTTCATGTGTGAGGACACCTTCGAGCGTTACTGACAGGTATGCCTTCTTGGCGACCCCCCTTCTGATAAAGTTACACAGAAACCTCTTAGGTTTTTTCTGACGTTTCTTCACACGCTCAGCCTTGTCTGTGTAATCTTGGTTTGTCTGAACCGTCAGCACAGCAGTAGCTGTTTCTGAGTGTTCAGCTTGCGATGACTCGTCATCGTTTGTGTGTGAGTTTACCCCCCTTTCTTCCGATGAGGGGTTGTTGGAGGCAACAACAACAATGTCTTGGTGTGTACCACTGACATCTGTGACGTTGTCATTCGCGCCCTCAGATGTAATAGTGATTACATCACTGCATAGTGCTCCAGGTTGGTTTCCCGTGTCAGTGTGTTTCAAAGTTTCTAACAACCTGCGTAGTTTCTCTGTCTCTTCCGAGCTCAGAGGTGTAGGGCCTTGTTTCTGGAACCTTTGTGATTTTTTTCGCCTCGGTTCGTTTCGTCCGAGGTGGGGGAGGGTTAGGTACGTCTTTTGGGGGGTTCCTTTTCGGACTTCCCCTGATAATATGGGTCACCTTGGTTCCCATATCTTTTCGTCCTACGCACACCCCACTTACGATAATCACGTTCATCCTCTGAAAGAGGAGCTTTTTTGTCCCAGCGTGCACCTTCATGACGCGGTTTGTTAGTTTGAAAAGACTGCTTTTTCTCGCCTTTCTTAGGAGGAGGAGGCGATGCACGCCGTCCTTCCAGTTCTAGCGAATGGGGTTTAACCTTTACACCAGGAAACACCTCTATGGGCGTCTTAGCATGAGAACATGCCTCAAACACATTCACAGCACACTGTTTAATCTCATTGATGGATTTTTCTTTGAAATTAGCCATCATCTGTACTGACGTTTTAATGTCAGTGTGGGGATTTTTGCTGAAAACAAATTTAAAACCTTCTTCTTCCTCCATTCCGGTTTCATTTCTGTAACCAAAATAAGCTTGGAAGATTCTTTTGTAATAAACCTTTGGATGTTCATGCTTCCCTTGCGTGACCTTGTCTGCAGCTGGGAAGCCACCAGGCCCCGTGTAGGGGTCGTATTCCCTGATCAAAGCTTCACACAGAAGGTTGTAATCCCTTCTCGTGGCATCAGGTTGACGCTCGATGAAGGTGAACACCTCTCTGTCCGAAGTGAGCCTTATCAGACTGATTTTATCCTCAACCGTAGCATTAGGATAACCACTCAGTCTGAAATCTAGGTCATTCAGATACGCCTTTGTACCAGTAGAACCCATAGGCCCAGGAATAAAGCGTTGTACATATTTTGAGAGTTTTTGAAGTTCATCTATTGAAAGAGGAAGTCTCAACGGTCTCTCTTGCCTGCTTGGTAGAGGAGACCTGATCAGGTCTGTCCCTGCTACTTTAGGTAAGGGTGGAGGTGTGTGTGATGTAAGGAGATTTGGGTCTGGAGCCCAGTGTGTCCCCACATTCTGTCCATGCCTCTCACTATTTTTCCTTTCTGCATGGCAAAGTTGTGTTTTAAGCACGTCTATCTCAGTTTTGCAGCGGGACACTTGTGACATTGTCTCGTCGTGATCCCGTCTTAATGCAAAGTATGCTGTGGAAAACAGTTCTTTAGCATCCCTGGCTTCAGTGAGTGATGCATTAAGTGACTGTACTTGGCTGTTCAGTGAATCAATTTCTGCACGTGCGTCTTGCTGTGACTGAGTCATCTGTTCCAGATGTTTCTTAGTGAGGACCTCGTGTTCACTTTTAAATTGAAGGAAGTGACCTTCAATTTCCTGAACCTCCTCTCTTTCGCTGTTTAACCTTATTTCAAGGTCGTCAGCTTTGTTTACCGCAGCATAGAATGTTGCTTTCAATAAGAGCACCAATTTAGCCAGCTGATTATAACTTGACTTTGTTATAGCTGTAGAGGTCACACCCTCTGCAACTTCCACCAGCTCTTCCAATAACTCTTTTGAGTTCATGTTGTCCACCTGTTCACCATATGGATGTAAAGATTCTGTCAGCTGCGCCAACGCCTTCTCTAACCAATCCATCTTGGCCTCAATAGTTTTTTCTGTCCCATCTGCCATGGTTATTCACTGTCCAGCATTTATCTGGTTAACCAGTTGCCAACTTCAGATATTTTAACAGGTAAATATTTGTATTCAAGTGAGCAGTGAGTCACACACTATTTTAGCTCTGGGTTCACTCAATAGTACTGTCATAAGTCAACTTATTCAAAGGAATGGGCACTTATTGTAAGATTCACCCCAGTGCATGAATTTTAAGTAAATGTCTCTTTCTGGCAGTGTTACTCAGTGTGCTTATTTTTTAACAGATACTAGAACCAGGCTTCTCAGTGTTATTTACTCTAAAGCACTAAAATTAAACAAACCTGCAATTTTTCTAAAAGTCTCACAGCAACTTTAGTTTTCAAACGCTTTTTTAAGCCGTTCTTTTCCAGAAATTCGCTATTTAACAGTTACTCAGTAAACCAGGTTGGATAAAAAAAATTTAAAAAAAAGAATGATGAGGAGATCATCAGTCCCATTTCAGGAAAACTGTTATACTCCTCTTTCAACAGCAGGTGGTGGTGTAAGCCTATTTATGCCAGCAGGAGTCTATGACAACTTCCTGTGGACCGTTCTGATGATATCCGGTCTTTAGCCGTTAGCTTTAGAATTAGCATCGGCGAAACTCGGTCAAATCAACATTTTCTGAACGGATTTAAAGCTCAAACGTGGCGTTGTTTCAATAAGCACGACTTTTTGCATGAAACATGAGTTTTGTGGGAACAGTGGCAGCTCCATTTAGCGATTTTAAACACAGAAGAGGCTTCGGTTGAACCGAGACTCATTTCCGGGTCACGTGACTGAATCAACCAATGATCAGAGACAGCAACGGGGTGGGTTTTACAACCTGACATCAGAGGAAGTGACGACAGACACGTCACTCGTCTCTCCAGCGAATCAGAGCGTTTCAAACAGCGGTTTTCAACCAATCACGCATCGTCATTTCAGCTAGCGTGTTAGCATTAGCTTGAACATTCCGGTCAACTTTTTGTCCATTAATACTGTCAAAATGCACTATTTTAACTGCTACAAATATAACAAAGCACTTTCAACAGCGGTCTGAGACGGCGCTCAGCTTTGAAACAGCTTTCCATCCATTTAAAACAACTCGTTCAAAATCAGAACCGAGCGAACAGGACCGGGTCAGAACCCCCTTTCTGTTAAAGTCTAAACAGAATCAAACGTTTCTCCACAGTATGTCAGCTTAGTTACACAACAGATGTACAAATTTCAGCTTTAAGATGAACACATTGACTTAACTTCAGCTCTCTTACCACAACTGAAAACATATCACTGTATTTTCTCTGAACCCCACAGCTGCAAAACGCTGCGTTTCACAGTCTAACAGAAATCTGCACTTTTAAGCTAATTTCAGTTAAGATCAGATATGCCAACATGATAAATTCAAGTGTTACACGAATAACACAGTCCATTTCATGAACCGTTACGGGCCACCAGTTGTAATGAGAGATAATAAAGAGAGTGTTCTTTCAATTGATTAGTGCAGGACACACTTAGAAAGTCTCTGGATGAGCTTAATTTGTGTTTCTGGACTCAAATCAATGAAATAACAGTTCCTGTCCCAGGAAGGCCCTCAGGGTCACGTTTTTGACCTGAGGCTTAGTTCACTACATATAAATAAAATAAAGAGTTACAATAATCAAGATGTCAGGAGACAAAGGCATGAATAAAAGTTTCTGCATCAGTTAAAGAGATAAATGCTCAGATTTTTGCAGTATTCTTAATTTGAAAAAATGCTGTTTTAGTGATGTTCTTAAAATATTTAGAAAAACCAAGATCAGAATCAAAGGTTACCCCCAAATTTCTGGCTTCACAAGTGCAGTTAAAACCAAGAATGGAAAGGGACTGAACTAATAAATCCCTTTTGGCCTTGGGGACAAAAACCATCACCTCAGTTTTATTGTTGTTGAGTGAAAGAAAATTATCAGACATCCAGGTTTTGATGTCTGTAAGGCAGAGATAAAGTTTGAGTGTGGGGAGGTCTGATGGGTTAATAGCCAAATAAATCTGGGAATTGTCTGCATAAAAATGAAAAGAAACATTGAATTTATGAATAACCTGACCAAGTGGTAGCATATAAATGGAAAATAATAGTGGCCCAAGAATAGACCCTTGGGGGACACCACAGGTGAGAGAAGCTGAACTGGAGGAATTATTGCCAGAAATTACCAAAAAAAAGTTCTGTCATGAAGATAAGATTTGAACAACCTCAGAGCAATGTCTCTAACACCTAGCCAATAATTTAGTCGACTCAATAGAATATTATGATCAACTGTATCAAAAGCAGCAGAAAGATCTAGGAGCACTGAGACAGTACAACAGCCAGTATCTGAGTTCATCCTAATATCATTCACAACTTTTAATAATGCGGTTTCTGTACTGTGATATTGACGAAAGCCAGACTGAAACTTTTCAAAAAGTGAGTTTAAATATGAAGCATTACTTATAATAATCTTATTAACCTGTTACACTAATGTTGATAAACTGCGGTGGTCATCTTGAATTGAGCTGACTCCAAAATTAAATTGGTTGTAGATGTATGCTTCATGTGGTTTATTTATTTTTTTGCAGTGGATTCATCTGGTTTATTAATTATCACTTTGATTCCAAATTCTCTGCCCTCCTGTTTTTAATGGATAATTAGTGGCTCGTTTTCTTCATGTGATTTATCTGCTGCGCTGCTCTAGTGATGATCTGGGACGATCTGAAGAAGAAAACCGTCATTGAGATCGAGTTCTCTACCGAAGTCAAAGCAGTGAAGCTTCGGCGTGACAGGTACCCCCTCCACGCACACACACACACACACACACACATATACACCTCACAGGAAAGTCTGAGGTGCACTGTCATTGTTATTTCATCATTTGCTGTAAAATCGGTGTTGTGTAACATAAACCTAAAGGCGCTGCTTTAATAATTCATACAGGATTCACTAAGAAGCACCAACTCCAACTAAACCTGACGTCAGTGTTTGGTTTTAACGCCAGTGGGGTTTCTGCCTGCCCCCTACAGGCTGGTTGATTCAATCTGGTCTGAACTTTAACTCCTGTTATTGCTTTTTTGTCAGGATTGTGGTTGTCTTGGACTCAATGATCAAAGTGTTCACTTTTACCCACAACCCCCACCAGCTGCACGTGTTCGAGACCTGCTATAACCCCAAAGGTCAGTGCCGACTGGAGAGGACAGTCTTGATCAGATGACTTATCAACAATCAGAACACGCTGATCGATAATCATTTAAACAATTATAGTTGTATGTTTGGCTGTTTACATGCTCTCTCTAATGTTCCTTTGTCTGTTTCAGGTCTGTGTGTCCTGTGTCCCAACAGCAACAACTCTCTGCTGGCATTCCCAGGAACTCATTCGGGCCACGTGCAGATCGTAGACCTGGCCAACACAGAGAAACCGCCTGTTGACATCCCCGCCCATGAGGGGGCGCTGTGCTGCATCGCTCTCAACCTGCAGGGCACGAGGATCGCCACAGCGTCAGAAAAAGTATGAAAAACCCGGGTTAGACTTCGAACGTCTCCCTGGCCTTGTGACGCGGGACTGATTGGGTCTTGTGTTCCCACAGGGGACGCTGATCCGGATTTTCGACACCTCTGCAGGGCAGCTCATCCAGGAGCTGAGACGAGGCTCCCAGGCAGCAAATATCTACTGGTAAGGGGGGGGGGTTGAGCAGACACGCGTCACTGTTTATCCTGCTGGTTTACAGCAACTTTGTTCCAACAGAAACATGAAGTCAAGTCAGATTTATTTGTAGAGCACATTTAAATCAGAAACTGTTACCAACGTGCTTAACAAAAAGTAAATGGAAAAAAAAAGATCACAGCATTAAATAAAAAGTGACAAGATATAATTACAGCATATGGAATAAAAATATAAAACACAAAGCATAATTAGGAACAATGTAATACTAAATCAGATCACCTTGTGTTAAATGTCAAGTTTTGAGGAGAGATTTAAAATGGACTGTACTTGTATAGCACCTTTCTATCTTATTGAGATACTCAAAGCGCTTTACACTACAATCTGTGTCCTCATTACCCATTCATACAACACACTACTAGATCTCTACAAAGCTAATTGAACAAATCATTCTAAAGAGACTAATCAGTGCTTTATCACATTCATACACTGATGGAACACACATCAACAAGCAACAAGGGGTTCAGTGTCTTGCCCAGGGACACTTCGGCATGTGACTGCTGTGGGGTTCGAACGCCCAACTCTTGCATTGGAGGACGACTGCTCTAACCACTCAGCCACAGCTGCCCACAAAAAGTAGAGACTGAGGTCATCTGTCTTATGTTGATGGGCAGATTGTTCCAGAGTTTAAGGCCCATGACTGAAAAAACCTGATCTCCTCTGAACTTCAACCTGGTTTTTGGTACAACCAAAAGCAGCTGGTCTGATGATCTCAAAGCCTGAGAAGGAGCATAAGGATGAAGAAGGTCAGAGAGGTTTGAGGGTACAAGGCCGTTAATGCACTTAAATGTCAGCAGGAGAATTTTAAAATCAATTCTGACGCACAGGAAGTCAGTGAAGGGAGGACAGAACCGGAGTAATGTGCTAAAACCTGCGAGTTCCTGTTAAAAGCCAAGCTGCAGCATTTTGGACGAGCTGGAGACATGAACGAGTAGTCTGACTGACCCCAACGTCCAAGCCACGGGCATCCACCATTCATCATCTGGATCTGTGCCCAGCCAGCTCAGACAGTGTGCAGCTTTCTTGTTGTAGTAGAATCAGCCACCGGCTGGCGTTTCACAGCCTATAGCTGCTTTCAAGACACATTCATACTGCATGATCGTCAGAAGTCTTTATGACGCTTCGCTGTCTGACTCATGGTTAAATCCCTTCAACCTACAAAATGAACACAGGAACTATGTAAGCATAATTACTTGTTTATTTTATTAACATATCCTGATGCATGCTCAATAATCCAGGTAGAAAAATCAAAAAAGTTCAATCTGGTCCTCTGGACATTCAAAAAAACAAAAAACAAAACAAAGCAAAAAAATCTAGAAACGTTTCGTCTCTCATCCAAGAGACTTCCTCAGTCTGAGGTGCTGTTTTCAGCTCAGTCTCTTAAATAGCACCTTCTCAGAGTGGATCAACCAGTTTGCTGCTGACAACCAAAACCAGCTGATCACATGCTCAAGAAGGACCATCAGCCTAACAATGGGTCATTAGCACACTGATGGCTGTTTACTATTCACAGGGGGCTGAGTGATACTAGCAATCACAGCATTGTAAGAGGGGGACAGTTGAACCCGGAGGCCTCCACCCCTGTTTAATGATGGACGATTTATTTTCACAAAGATGGCCTCCTTTACTCCTCTCTCAAACCATCGTTCCTCTCTGTCCAGGATGTGAACATCTTCATCCCTGAAAGAGTGACCGCTGGCCTGGAGATGAGTGTAGACCGCAGAATCCTGGCCTGATGATGTTGATCTTCTGTGCTGGGCCATCCTTTTGGCCAGTGGCTGTTTAGTTTCCCCGATGTAAGACTGATCACAGCCCTCCTGACACTGAACAGCATACACAACATTACTCTGTTTGTGCCGGGGGACTGGATCTTTGGGATGAACCAGTCTTTGCCGTAATGTATTTTGGGGTTTAAAAGCCACTGGGACGTTATGTTTAGAAAATAAACGTCTCAGTTTCTCTGATACCCCCTCAACATACGGAATGACCACTGGTCTGGGTCTGGGTTCCTCCTTTTCACCTGATGGCTGACTGGAGTCCTGTTTGGGTTTCTTCTCTGCTTTCAGGAAGGCCCAGTTAGGATATCCACATTGCTCTAGAGCCTGTCTTGTGTGGGATTTCTCCTTCTGCCTGGCTCCCGAGCTAGTGGGGACGCTGTCTGCTCTGTGATACAGAGTCCTGATGACTCTTAACTTGTGCTCCAAAGGGTGATGGGAGTCAAACTGCAAATACTGGTCTGTGTGGGTGGGTTTGCGGTACACCTCAGTTTGCAAATGTCCTCTATCAGAGACTGAGACCTCACAGTCCAAGAAAGCCAACTTGCCATTTTTTTACATCTTCTCGTGTGAACTTGATGTATTTATCCACAGAGTTGATGTGGTCAGTAAAATGTTGGACTTCCTGAAATTTAATTTTAACCCAGGTGTCGTCAACATACCTGAACCAATGACTTGGTGGTGTCCCTGAAAAGGACGTCAAGGCTCTCTTTTCTACCTCCTCCATGTACAGGTTGGCAACAATAGGAGAAACTGGAGACCCCATAGCACACCCATGTTTCTGCTTATAATATTGCTCCCCATATGTGAAGTAGGTTGACTGTAGGCACAGTTTCAAGAGTTGACACAGTTGTTCTGTGGAAAGTGTGGTCCTGCTGCTCAGAGTGGTGTCTGATTTTAATCTTAAACTGACCTTAAACTGTTTTTTTGAATGTCCAGAGGACCAGATTGAACTTTTTTGGATTATTTTATTAACCTTTATTTAACCAGGCAAATCCCATTGAGATCACAGATCTCTTTTGCAAGGACCTGAAGGCAGCCTAACATGCATGTTTTTGTTCTGTGGGAGGAAACTGGGGTATCTGGAGAAAACTCACGCAAGCATGCAAACTCCACACAGAAAGATCCCGGGTCCAACCGGGGATTGAACCCAGAAACGTATTGCTGTGAGGCAACAGTGCAAACCACTGAGCCGTCATGCTGGACAGATCACTGGACTGAACAGTGCCAAACATCTGCATAACTGAAATTATTTTAAATTGATTCACCAGTCAATTTTACCCAGAGTTCTTGTCGAGGTCATGTGACCGGGAGTCAAATAGTACGTAAAATACGGTAAATATTCATTAAATTAGTACTATTGATTTTTTTTTTATTGTTAAACACTTTTGGTAACAGCTGCTGTTTTGAAACGTACTTTTTAAATAAAGTTGGCGTGATTTCTGCTCAGCAGAGCTCATGAGCAGGAGGGAGGAAGGGGGAAGAGCTCCTCTTCCCTCCTGTTGTCTCCTCCACTCTGTGCTCGGATGTGAGCTTAAATGAGATATTGGTATTGAAACACATATTTACCGTACACAGAAATATATATTTTTAATTTTTATTTAAATATGTGTCAGTCTTGACTGACTGACTGCTTTAAAAATAAATCTGACGGCTTCTCCGCCGCTCACTGTCCTCTCATGACGGAAAGGGGAGGGGGGAAGACCCCTCCTGTTTAAAATGAGATCCTGCTATTTAAATGCATATTTACTGACACAGGCAGATGTCACACAGTAAGTATTTTAAAACTTTTATTAAAACATGTACCAGACTTGACTGCTTTGCGTCTCCAGTGCCCGACCATCGACACGTTAATGCAAAGCTTACAGGCGGCAGCTCTGTTTCCTCCTTCAATAGCCAGATCGATTGTTTTTAATTTGAAAGATGCATCATAAGAAATTCTCTGTGCGTTTTCCATTATCACTGAACAAATGAACAGGTGTGTGCATGAAGCACAAAATACGGTAGCGACACAGGAACTATCTAAAGAAATTAATGCACGTCTATGGGGGATGGTCCTTGAGAGACCTCATTGGTCATTCAGGTTAGACTTCTGGTCACATGATGACAGAGTGGGTGGAGTTATGGCAGGGAATTTGAAACCCTGAGTAAGAGTCGTTGTACATGTGATTACCTGAGGGCATTCTCTCTGTGTCACAAATGCCCGCCCCCAAGTGGGGTGGGGTGCCAAGCCATGAGCGCCCAGCTCTGTCAAAGGACAATGTTAGTCAGCGACAGGAAGTTACCGAGACGGCAGGAAGTCTGTCAAAATAAAAACATAAACTTATAACTTTTGAAAATTATGAAAAAAATACGTAAATACTTCATCAGTCTCCTGTCCTGAGCAAGCACAAAGGAGACAGTGGGAAGAAAAAACTCCCTTTAACAGGAAGAAACCTACAGCAGAACCAGGCTCAGGACAAGCAGCCATCTTCTTTGACTGGCTGGGTTTGAGAGGACAGGAAGTAGAAATGGACAAATACAGAATGACAGGTCCAGGTGTACTTTCTATAGGAGGTAAGATAAAAACCATGTTATGATAGAAATAAATCAATATGATGATCAGTTATCAAATCATTAACTAACAGAGACCAAGAGGAAAGAGATCTTATGCACCATTAAGTAAGACCAGCAGATGAATCCACCTTGTTACCCCACCCCCCCACTATTTTTTTTTGTCCCCCGTCATGGAGCGAAAAAGAATTAGAAATACCTTCAGTACATCCATGCATGTTGTGAGCACAATAACTTGTCATTTCATCACATGTGGCACATGAGGTGGAACGAAATTGTGTACTCGAGGTCCTGTTACATCCAACAATAGCATAAATGTAAAGTTAGGTGGGGGCTGTTCTCCGTCTCTTCCTGTTTATTTGAGCGACAGCTTTGTTTTTGTCATTTCAGCATCAACTTTAATCAGGACGCGTCCCTCATCTGTGTGTCAAGCGACCACGGAACTGTCCACATTTTTGCTGCAGAGGACCCCAAAAGAAACAAGCAGTCAAGGTGCCCCCCCCCCCCCCCCCAAAAAAAAAAAAAAATCAGGTGAGGCACTGCAGCAGGACAAATAAAAACAAACTCTTCTTGTGTTTGTGCTTACAGTTTGGCCTCGGCCAGCTTCCTTCCCAAATACTTCAGTTCAAAGTGGAGCTTCTCCAAGTTCCAGGTCCCATCGGGTTCTCCGTGTGTGTGTGCCTTTGGAACAGAACCCAACGCTGTCATAGGTACGTGTCCACTCTCATCCTGACCTGTCACAGAGGCACGTTGTCCCAGGAGGAGACCTTCTTATAATCAGGCTTTAATTGATCCTGATCACTCTGCTGACCTCATAACTCAGCAGCTTGTGGATCATACATGTTTCACACGTGATGAAACCAACAAATCATGGTTTAAAATAAACTAACAGCTGATTCAACAAACGGCGACGGGACCTGTTTGGGAACAGCGTCGACGACGGAGTCTCCAGAATGCCACAGAGCTCTCAGATGCTGCCTGCAGAGGACAGAATGTACCGTTTGTGTTTGAAGGGAAATATTTAAAGTTTAACGAACAGAACTGCATTTTTTTCTGTTACAATCTGGGGTTCCTCAAAAAATATTTAGTGTCACAGCCGTGAACATCCAGGTCTGACTATAGTGTAGAGGGATATGGGGTTGGATATATATATTGTAAATGATCAGTTAGGAGTTAAGCTCATAAGATATGCATTTATTATGCAAATAACCTCGTTGTGGGCACCACCTCTTTTTTTAGAGGAAAAATCAGTCTCTAACCCCAAAAATAAATGTAAACTGAAACGTGAATTCTTTTCTCATGTTTAAAAGGCATCAAATCAGTTAATACACACAGATATGCCAAAATAATCACAAATTTAGTTGATTTTTTGTATTTTATTACAAAAATAATAATCTGTGATATATCTGATGAAGATTATGCATCAAATGAATACACAAATGGATAACAAATAGCTTTGTATCAAAGGTCTACTTGATTATTCAAATCAGTGAAACTTTTAAAAAGGCAGAATTTTTGGACTGTTCTGTTTGTGGAGTAGTTGAAATTGTGTCCAAATTAACTGTAGTGTGTATAAAGCAATATTATTGTGATGTATGATCACCAGAAAGGCATTAAAGGTCTCTTGTCCTACCAGAATGAGATGGTCAGAATGGTCCAACAGCTGCTTAAAAATGGTACCAGTCCAAATGTTCTGGTGACTGAGAGGCTGATTTTTCCTCAAAGTTCACCTGTCATCTTAGAGGGACGAGGGTCCATATAGGAGTCAGCTGGGATTTTTCCACTCTGCGGTGCAATGGCTCTGGTAACAAATCTCAGGTTAATGCCAGGTTCTGCTTCTGGTTCTGCAGGGTTTCCAGAAAAGGCTGCTTCTCTTGTTCTCTTCCTTCCTAGGATCTCACTAGGAGGAAGTTTTTTCTCTGAAGTTTGCTCGAAGTTCAGTGCTTGAAGAAGATGTGATGTAGAAGTAGAATGGAAGTATAAGATGAAACTTAACTGTCTGTGTGTTACAGACTGACTTTGGTCCACCTCTCGGAAGAGGGGTGGTCCTAACTCTTTGTCATGTTTGATAAAATCTAATGTCCATTTTCTCTGTCTGTCTTTAAAGTCACTCTTCTTTTTAAAAGAGGAAAACACAAGACCAGTGATTATCTTAAAGAGAGAGTACTTAAACAGACATTTTCATAAACAAACATTCAGTTCTGAAGCTTTTGAAATAACATGCAATGTTCATCAAAAGGTGTCGCTGTTCATCTCCTGAGAAGAAAATGTCATTTTTAACAAAGGGTTCTTTAAAAATGTGTTATCTCCATGGGAAACCATCCTGGGAGTAATACTCTTTTTTTTTTTATACACGTTCATCTCAGCAGATGTTTCACTTCGAGGTCAGTTGAACCAAACTCATTAAAACGACCTGTCCGTTTCGGAGGAAATTAGTTCATATGAAAGTGGTTAACACAGTGACAGGTTTTTTTTTATACATTCACATTAGTGTCATCTAAGTTAGTGCTGAATTGAACACCTATAAAGCAAAGTCTGTTTGTTCCCAAGGGAATAGATGCATCTTATTTTTAACATTTTAAAACATGAATGATGTTGTTTGAGATGAGGTGAACTGTTTCTGAGGTGGTGTTCCGTTTCTGAGGTGGTGTTCCCCTACACTAGCAATAAAATATATGATTTATAACAGATTAAATTTTAAATATGGGGATGGCTGCTAATCTCTGTACAAAGCAGGTTGAGACAGGTACGATGTGGACACCAGCAGGAAGAACTGGCTGCTCATAATGTTCACAGGCTGGTTCAGTGAGTGGACGTCTAAACGTTCAGGCTTCATCTCAGAATTCAGTCTGACTGCTTCTGGAACATTCCAGCTAATCTCTGACCATTATTAGTACAGATATGTAGCTTAACATTGGTGTGCTAGTAGCCAAAAGTCATACCATATCATACCAATTTATTTATAGAGCACTTAAAACGGCAACAAGGCCAACCAAAGTGCTGTACAATAGAAACAAACAAGCACAGCAGACAGGAAAACAAAATAAAGATAAAGATACAAATAGCAGCAGGTAATAACTAAATGCTGAACACTGTAGACGACAGACAGGATCAAAACAGTGTCATAAGCAAGGGAATAAAAGTGGGTTTTCAGGCGAGACTTAGACTGTGAGTGTGGGAGGCTGCCTGACATTTCCAGCACTGAGCATCAACACATCAGTGAGAATTTTGGCATGCGAAGCAGCAGGTGATATGCTTTTTAACGGCAAACTTTTGTTTGTTTGTTTACTCAATGTTTTTAGTCAATGTTTTATTTTCAGTTTCTCATTATTAGTGTTACAAGCTCCAAAATATTCACAAGTGTGTTACCATTTCTACTAGGGCTGCAACTAACGATTATTTCAATAATCAATTCATCGGCCGATTATTTTTCCGATGAATCAGCAAAAAAAAAAAAAAAACATTTTTAATTTCCACCCCTTTATTCCAAAATTGAACATTTGACTGACATAGAAATTCGCACAAAAAACAGGTTGCTATTTGATTATTCTGTTGGTAAAATATAGAATTATAAAAAATAAGTTAGTCAAATAGCTTAAAAAAATAAATGTACACAAATATATATACAAATGTATCTTTATACCTGCACAATATGTAGCTACTTTGTAAAATGTGTCCTTGAGGGAAGAGTGTAACCTGGATTAAAAGTGTGGATCATTGTAGTGAAGCCTTCGTCTTCAACCATCGACAGAGGCCTCATGTCAGTGACAATCATTTAAGGATCTTTCAGTGAAGACAGCTGCTGCTGTGGTGTCCATGTTGTCTGTCCATCATGAAGTGTTGTTGTTGTTTTCTGGAATGAGAGTAAATATGTATTATTAATTTACAGCAACTCAAGAAATGCCTTGTGTCACTTACAGTGTTAGGTTCAGGCAAAAGTAGCTAAAAGAGCAATTAAACACACACACACACATATAAAATACTTAATTACACACATTTGAGTAGATGTAATAAATTACTTTAATTCCTGTTTAAATGCAATTCACCCTGCCATACCTGCAGTGTCTTCAGACTTTGCCAGCAAATTAAAAGTTGAAGCTTAATCATTAAATTATTATCTTTGGGTTAGATTTATTTATAAATCACATTTAAACACGGCTTGTACCTATTAAATAAAATAAAAAGTAACACATGTTCTCTATCACCGTCATTAATCGGCAAACAAACAAACAAACAATCAGCAGCTTCATCTACCAGACAGACTGACGTTACGTTTTCTCTCTTGGAAACAGAACAATGTGTTAAATTGTAGAGACTCACCTGCAACACGAGTTGTATCAGCTGCAGCTCCTTCCTCCTCCTTGTGACTCCGACATGTTTACGTTTCATCTCCGTGGTTCTCCCGTGTCGTGTCGGCGATTTTCAAAGCGGCATGCATCTCATTTTTTATCTTTGTGAAGTTCTCCCACTCTTTGGAGGACTTGGGTCGAACAGTTTTCTCTGCGTCGGTCATTTGTAAAATTTACTTAATTTCCTTTGAAAACAGGCTCTGCTCTGCCTCGCTCTGTTCAACTCGCGCTGCAGTTTTTTTTCAAACTTTATTCAGTCAGTCAGCATTGACAATGAACTGCCCGTGAACAAAACGAAACGGCTCCGCAGCGCCGTGACAGATGCATAATCATGCAACACAACGAATCGATAATGAAATTCGTTGCCAACGCTTTTAATCATCGATTTTTATCGATTTTATCGATTCCTTGTTGCAGCGCTAATTTCTACTGTTACAGCTGCTGAATGAACTAATGACAAGTTTGTTTTTAAAAAGCACAAATATTCAGATAATTAGCCTTTTTTTAAACCAATCTGTATTATTATTATTGTCATTATTATTATTATTGCTATTATCATTATTATTGTCATTATTGTTGTTATTATCATTATTATTGTTATTATTGTCATTATTATTATCATATTATTATTGTTGTTATTATCATTATTATTATTGTTGTTATTATCATTATTATTATTATTATTGTTTTTATTATTATTATTATTGTTATTATCATGATTATTATTATCGTTGTTGTAGTCATTAATATTAACATTATTGTTATTGTTGTTATCGTTGTTGTCATTAATATTAACGTTGTTAATTATATTATCATTATTATTATTATTATTATTGTCATTATTATCATACTTCTTATTTTTATTATTATTATAATTATTATTATTGTTATTCTTATTATTATTGTTGTTATTATTACTATCGTTGTTATCATTGTTGTTGTCATTAATATTAACATTGTCATTATTATTATCATTATTATTATTATATTATCATTATTATTTTTATTGTTGGTGTTATTATTAATATTGTCATTATTATTATTATTTATAGGCAGTCGAGCAATCTTATGATTGATGGTTCATTCAGAGGTCTTAGTTTTGAGCTTTAGATTTTCTGTCGTCCATGTTTCTGAACATCACGAGGAGACTTTTTGTTGCTTGCGTCATCGGTCCTTCTTGTCCAGCTCATGTTTGCTGACTCATCCTTCCTGTCCAGCTCATGTTTGCTGACTCATCCTTTTCTCCCCGCAGCCATCTGTGCCGACGGCAGCTACTACAAATTCCTGTTCAACCAGAAGGGGGAGTGCTCCAGGGACGTGTACGCCCAGTTCTTGGAAATGACCGACGACAAAATCTGACCCTCGCCGTCGAGCCACACATTTTGTTTCCTGATTGTTTCTTTTTGTTAGTTTTTCCTGAGGAAGGGGCGGGAGGTCCACACCTCTCTTTGTCTCCACAGACTCTGACGAGGAGCTTCAGATGGAGGGAGGACAGGAGCACAAACGTTGAGGAAACTCTCGTGTGTCTCTTCACTCCAGACTAAACCAGAGAGAACTTTAAAACTCGCAGCTGTTTGCAAAGTCTTCCGAGGATTCACAAAATATTTTTAATCTCACAGATGATCAAAATGTTCAGATTATTCAGCTAACACCGGACCACAGGGAGTGCCTCTGCTCAAACCAACATCAGAACCAACCTGAAGGAGCAGGTTCTGACCCGGTGCTGTGAAGCGTCGCCTCAGTTGTGTAGATCCGTGCGTCCGCGGACTGACTGTCTAGCCACTCGTGTACAGAATTATAACAAAGTGATTAACGTGTATTTTTGTTTCACCCTTTTCTTATTTTGTGCAATAATTTGTTTCTGTTATCGTTTTGTTGAAAGTGTCTGAATGAAGCATTGAAAAGTTGAATTTGTTGCATCTGATTTGTTTTTTCAGAGCTAGATGGACGATTTGTCCGCTCTCGTGCCTCTGCAGTAACAAACACGTTCACGGGTGAAATTCCTCTGCTCACAGCGCCTCCATAGTTCACCAACCAAACAATGGAGGTGGAGTTTTTTGACTTTTCGGCTTAGTTCAACTCCTGTTGTTTTTGTAAAGGTCTGACCTGATCTCTGAGAATTAGTTATTACCAAAACCAATCCTTGTTTTCCTAATTTCAAGTGAAAACCTCAAATCTCACTTCGTGGTATAATCTGTCTGTCACTTGAAATCTGCAGTTAATCTCCAAATTAAAGAGATTTAAACAAATAAAGCTCCGCTTAAACTCTAACAATAAGTGTCTGTGCAAAAGGGGGAGTGGTGGTGCAGAGGTTGGTGAAGGCAAGCCTGTGATCAGAAGGTCACCAGTTCGACTCCCCGGGCTGACAACACCCACACCTTCCTCCACTCTCATTTGCTCCACTCTGGGCCCTTGAACAAGGCCCTTAACCCTCACCATCTGCTCCCCCGGGCGCCCCCGATGGCAGCGCTGCTCCATACAGAGGGCTGTGGTGTCAGGAAGGACATCTGGCGTAACACCAACCAAGTCTTCATGAGTTTCTTCACTGTGGAGACACATGAATAATTAAATGGCGTCCGTGCACAAACATCACTTTGTCCCACTGGGCTGCTGTTCTGGTTGTTTCCTGCAGTTTAAGTTGACGTTCAGTTTGTTCTGGTGGAGTTCACACGTTCTGTGTTTTCTCCAGATGTTCTGGTTTCCCTCCACGGTGCAGAAACCTGCAGGTTCAGATTGCTCCTAAAACCAGTCCTGTGGTCTCACTGGGGCTTGTTTGATATAAAATAATGAAACTGGTCTTTAATAAAATGACCGTATCTTAAATTAATATTTGTTGAAAGATATTTTTGAGTCAATCAAATAATTTCTGTGTAGAGGGATTTTTGATTGGCCATCTATATAATTTATTATTATGAGTTAAGCTCATAAGATATGCATTTATTATGCAAATAACCTCGTTATGCGGGCACCACCTCTTTAAGAGAAAAAAAATCTGTCTCTAACCCTCAAATGAACTAAACTGAAACGTGAATTCTTTCCCGTGTTTAAAGGGCATTAAATCAGTTAATACACACAGATATGTCAAAATAATCACAACTTTAGTTGATTTTTATGTATTTTATTACAAAAATAATAATTTGATGTATACATCTGATGAAGATTATTCATAAAAATTAATACACAAATTAATAACAAAATTACCTTGTGTCAAAAGTGTATTTGATTATTAAATTCAGTGTAACTTTTGATAAACGGCAGAATCTTGGACTGGTTTGTTGGGGTGTAGTTCAAATTGTGTCTAAATTAACTGTGGTGTATCTAAATTAATATTATTGTGAATGTATGATCACCAGAAAGGCATTAAGGTCTCTTGTCCTACCAGAATGAGTCGTCAGAATGTCCACAACTGCTTATGAGGGATGCCAGCTGTACCTGAGGTGCTATGGGTGACTTAAAAGGAGGATTTATCCTCAAAGGTCACCGGTCATCCGTTGGAGGGACCAAGGTCCGATCACTGGCTATTTGAAGTCGGCTGGGATTTGCCACACTGCGTCAAGTAATTCTGGTTCCAATCTCAGGTTAATGTCAGGTTCTGCTGGTTGTTGTCTTCCTTCCAGGATGTCTCACTAGGAGGAAGATTCTTCTCTGAAGTTTTGCTCGAAGTTCATTGATGTAGAAAGAGCGGTGAAGTGTAAAGAAAAAGTGGTGTAGAAGTCAAGTAGTGAAGTGTCTGTCTGTGTGTTACAGATTCACTTAGGACTGCCCCCCGGAAGTGGGATGGTTCATAACCTTGTGTTATGGTTTATAAAATCTCCAGTCCATTTTCTCTATCTGCCTTTAAAAAGTCACACTTCTTTTAAAAGGAGAAAAATAAACATGATTATCTTAAAGAGAGGTTACTTTAAACAGACATTTTCTAAAACAAACATTCAGTTCTGAAGCTGTGGAAATAACATGCAATGTTCATCAAAAAAGGTGTCGCTGTTCATCTCCTGGAAAGAGAATGTCATGAAACAAAGGATTCTTTTAAAACTGTTATCTCCATGGGAAAATCCTGGGACTAAACTCCTCGGCAGGTGTCCCACCTCGAGGTCAATATGAACCACAAGCTCTCATTAAGACGATCTGTCAGTTTCGTGGGAAATGAGGTCATATTGGCAGTGAAGTTAATACAATGACAGTTTTCATTACATTAGATTAGTGGCAACTAAGGAGTTTGTAAGCTGAGTTTAACACCTGTAAACTAAAGTCTGTTCATTCCCAAGGGAATAAATGCATCTTGTTTTAACAGTTTCAAACACAAAAAAACATGAATGATTGTTTTGAGATGAGGTGAACTCTTCTTGAGGTGGTGTTCCCCTACATCTGTAACTCTGAGCTCGGCACCCGTCCAGATGTTCTGGACCTCCTCACTCCAGCAACTCCAGCTGTCTGGTTTGAAGGCTTTAGATCAGAGCTCAGAGGGTCGCCTCAGAACGGTCCAGTGTTTGGTTCTAAGCCATTAGCTGTGTTTTGGGTCATTATCCTGTCGGAGCAGAGGTCCCTAGCCCTGGTCCTGTGTCCCACCGTCCTGTGTCCCAGCTCCAACACACTTGATTCAAATCATTACCTGCTCATCTTCTTCAGGTTTGGTGGAAGAGATCAACTCAGGTGTGTTGAAGCAGGGAAACATGTAAACGTGCAGGGCTGTGGGCCATGAGGACCAGGACTGAGGACAAGTCCTGCTGAAAATCCTGATCCTGAAAATTACAGCCGTGCTTTAAATCAGATTGTTTTGCTTCCATCAGCGCTGTCCTCGGCTGTCTCTGTGACCTTAAACACCTCCTCAGACACGTTGATCTGTTCTGAAGAAAGTTCTCATGAACCACTGGATCATTTTTACTGAAACAGAATCAGTAGATGTTCATCTACAATTCAACGTGGTCACCACAGCCAGAACGACAAGCGACCATGCCGATGTACCGTGTTACTGAGGGACTTAAATTGTGAATGTAGTTTTCTAGACAAGTATTTTCCTGGACTGGAACAAAATGCAAAAAAATTAAAATGTTTTTGGTGCCAGATATTCAAGTGGGTAGGAGCTGCACTGTGTAGAAGGACAGAGTTTTTTTTAATACTCACTTATGCCAGCAGTACAGAGTGACAGATCCTGGTGAGTAGAGAGAGCCCATTTATACACACAGATCCGGCGAGCTTATGGACGGCAGCTCTCTCCAGCGTCTCTGCAGTCTTTTATCATCAAACTGACCCGTTTTTTCTAACCGGACTAAAGTTGGTCCAACTTCCAACCAAATTCGGTGTTCAGTGACTCAGAGAGCCGGACGGGACCGTCCAAAAATATATTTTGGTCCAGGACCGGCCGCTCCCACCCCACCGGTCACTCTGAGCGCACCCTGCCGGCCAGGTGACCCCTCGAGCTGGGGAGTCATCGCACGAAGGTCCGGTGGATCTCAACGAACTCTCATCTGGACCTTGTGGTTCTACCTGGTTCAGACGAAAATCGCCGGGTGGTATTTTGCTGGTTTTCTGCTGGACTGGCCCTTGTGGTGTCTTCATAGGTGTGGGGGAAGTGTACCTGTGACCCTCGAACTGGATCAGAACCGAACCGAGGTGGCTGTGGGGGACTTCGTCTTTAACAGAGCCGGTCTCAGCTTCAGTGAGCAGCCCGTTACTTTTAACGAAGGACTGTCCACCTCCGTGGAATCGCTGTGTTCACCTGGAGGAGACGCTACGATGCTTTGAAACGCCGCCGGACCGGGCCGCCGGACCGGGCTGCCAGACCAGAGCAGAACCGGGCCAGGGACATCTTCAGCCTCTTCGTCTCTCGTGCTGTGGAGCGCCGGAGCCGGACTGGAGCAGAACCGGACCGGACCAGTGTCGACTTCAGCCTCAGTCTCTCTGGTCAGTCTCGTTTTTCACCGGGGGTGCCTCTCGTGCTGTCGGGTGCGGAGGTGTCGTGCAGAGAAGCGGAGGAACAGCGTGAAGGAGCAGGGCTGCGTGGTGCTCGAGAGAAGTTCGGAGTACGGATCCTGTCTAACCCTGAATGCTAGAAAACGCCTTGTATCTGTCACTTTCCTTCCCTCCATTGATTACGGTGACATTATTTACATGAACGCTCCTACAAGAACCCTGCAGATGTTGGATGCTGTCTATCACGGTGCACTAAGATTCATAACTGGCTGTGATTACCGTACCCACCACTGCACCCTGTATTCACTGGTTAACTGGACATCATTAACTTCACGCAGACTCTCTCACTGGTACATTTTCATCTTTAAATCACTTCTTGGTCTGCTGCCTTCATACATCTCCTCCTACATGTCTCTGCGTGAGTGCAGCTATGGAGTGCGCTCTCAGGACATTATTACCTGCAGTGTTCCCTCAGTGAGGACTGAACTAGGCAAAAGTGCCTTCTCCTACTCAGCTCCTGTTTCCTGGAATATCTTACAAAAAGATCTGAAGCTCTTGAACTTGACCTCTCTAAGTGGCTTTAAGAATCTGTTGGACTCCTGGCAGGGACCAATGCAGACATGTTCGTGTTTTTAGTTTTCTACATTCGCCTTAGAATCTAGCTGTTTTTTTGTTTGTTTTTTTGTTACCTTTTTCTTTTAGCCATCCTATTTGGTAAAAAAAAAAAAAAAACTGCAGTATTACTTTTTATAATTGTTTATTGTTGTTGCTGTTGTCCATTGTTGTCATCTTTCTTTGTTGAAATCAGGTCTCTCTTGTAAATGAGTCCTCGAGGCTCAATGGGATTTACCTGTCTAAATAAAGGTTGAATGAATA